CTACTACTACTCCAACTACTTCCACTATAACTACTCCTACCACTACTACTGCTACTACTACTACTACGACTACTACTACTACTACTACTACTACTACTACTACGACAAGCACGACGGCTGCTACTACTACTACTACTACTACTACTACTACTACTACTACTACGACTACGATTACTGCAGCTACGAGTGATCCTACTTCAAATAGTGCGCCGACGGCGACGACGACGACGTCTACTAGTACTTGTACAACTACGGTTGCGACTGCGACAAATACTGATACTACGAAACACTGCTACTACTACGACTACGACCACTACTACCACTTCGGCGACGACTACTACTACTACTACTACTACTACTTCTACTACTACTACTACTACTACTACTACTGCTACCACTACTACTACTACTGCTACTACTACTACTAATACTAGTACTACTACTAGTACTACTAGTACTACTACTACTACTACTACTACTACTACTACTACTACTTCTACTACTTCTACGATTACTACTACTACTACTACTACTACTACTGCTGCTACTACTACTACTACTACTACTACGGCTACTGCTACTACTACTACTACTACTACTACTACTACTACCACTACTAACTACTAACTACGAACTACTAACTACTACTACAACTACTACTACTACTACTACTACTACTACTACTACTACTACTACTACGACTACTGCGGCTACTACTACTCCAACTACTACTACAACTACTACTACGACTACGACGACGACGATTACTACTAATACTACTACTACGACTACTATTGCTAGAACGACTACTACGACTACTGCTACTACTACTACGACTACTACTACTACGACTACTTCTAACACGACGACTACTACTACGTAGACTACGACTACGTCTACGACTACTACGACTAAGACTACGGCTACGGCTACTACGCCTACTACGACTACTACTACTACTACTACTACTACTACTACTACTACTACGACTACTACTACTACTACTACTACTACTACTACCACTACTACTACTACTACTACTACTACTACTACTACTACGGCTGCTACGAATACGGCGACTACTACCACTACTGTGGCTACTACGACTACGACTACTACGACTACGAGTACTACTGCTACTACTACTACTACTACTACTCCTACTACTACTACTACCACTACTACTACGACTACTACTACTACTACTACTACTGCTACTACTACTACTACCACTCGTACAACGACTACTACTACTACTACTACTACTACTACTACGACCACGACTACATCGACTACTAATACCACGGCTACAACTACTACTAGTACTACTGCTACTACTACTCTTACTACTACTACGACTAGAAGGACCACTACTACTACTACTACTACTACTACTACTACTACTACTACTACTACTACTACTACTGCTGCTAGTCGTAGTCGTAGTAAAAGTCGTAGTATTAGTAGAAGTCGGAGTAGTATTAGGAGTATTCCGTGATAGAAAAAGCCGTAGTCAAGGTAGCAGTAGTAGCGGTGGTAGTCGTAGTCGTGGTAGTAGCGGAGTAGTAGTCGTAGTAGTCGTAGTAGTCGTAGTAGCTGCAAAAGTAGAGGTAGTAGTACTAGTTGCAATGCCAGTATAAATAAGAGTAGCAGTAACAGCCGTAATAGTAGTGGTAGTAGAAGTAGTAATAGTAGTAGCACGTGTAGTGTTAATCGTAGGAATAGTACTAGTACTAGTAGCAATGAAAAATCGAACTAGTAGTGGTAGTAGTAGTAGTAGTAGTAGTAGTAGTAGTAGTAGTAGTAGTAGTAGTAGTAGTAATGATAGTAGTAGTAGTAGTAGTAGTAGTAGTAGTAGTAGTAGTAGTATGAGTCTGAGTAGTAGTAGTAGTAGTAGTAGTAGTAGTACTAGTAGTAGTAGTAGTAGTAGTAGTAGTAGTAGTAGTAGTAGTAGTGCAAGTAGTGGCGGCAATAGTCGCACTGTCGCAATAGTCATAGAAGTACAAGTAGTAATAGCAGCCGTAATAGCACTAGTAGCAGTAGTAGTAATAGTAATAGTAGTAGCAGTAGTAGTAGAAGTAATAGGTGTGGTCGTAGAAGTAGTCGCAGTGCTCGTAGTATTGGTCCTCCCCCATTCCTCCCTCCAGGTTGCCAAGGCAACGCTTCCAGGGCGCGGGACGCGTTATCCGTTTGCGGGAAAAGGGGGGGATTCTTAACAAATCCTTCGGGTTAAATATGACTCTTATGATGACGAGTATGATGGTAATGGTAATGATTTCGAAAATTATGATGCTTGGCTCCAGTTTCGCCTCCAGCATGTCGCGAAGCAGCGCCAAAGCCCGCTGCCACTGCTCGCCCTTCTCGCACGCGCTGATGCCAGCGTTGAAGCTGACGACGTCGGGGCCCAGCTTGGCCTCCAACATCGCGCTGAGCAGAGCCAGAGCTCGCTGCCACTGCCTGCCCTTCTCGCACGCGCCGACACCAGCACCGTAGCTGATGACTAGCGCTGACCAGTGGCCTACCGGCCACGAAATCTGTCCGACATGGCACACTGGACCAGGGCAGAGATGTTGCCGGAACACCTTCGTGAAGAGGTTGGGCCCGAACTCCGTCTCTGCTGTTGCAACCTGCAGCTGCAGGGTGCTGCTGCCTGCGGCATGTTGATGCTTACGTTTGCTGTGCTGCCGTTGCCTGCTGCGGACCGCTGTGTTTGCTGATGCTGCTTGAGGCTAGAGAATGCTGCTGCTTGGTGCCCTCGCTAGATGATGCGGCCTGCAGCTCATGAGTGGTTCGAGAAGCGAGGAGCACGGCGCGAGGAGTCAGGGTCGAGAAGGGGGGGAAGTGAGGAGCGAGCAGCGAGATGTACGGAGCGAGAAGGGAGGAGCGACGGCCGATGAGAGCGAGGGAGAGAGAGGCGAGGAGAGAGGAGGGGCAGCCGAAGAGGAGGGGGAGGCGGACGCCAAGAGAGCGGAGAGGAGCGAGGAGCGAGGAGCGAGGAGCGAGGAGCGACAAGGAAGGCATGAGGAGAAGTCAGCACACGCATGGCTCAATGGCCTCTGCCATCTGGTCTCCTCTTGGGTCGCTCACGCTCATGGGGCTCTCTTGGGTGGCCAGCGCGGCCACAGAGCTCTCTAAGGGGTCTTCTCGCTGGGGGGCCTCTTGAGGGCCTGCTGGCGGTCGTGGGGGTCATCTTGGGGCGGAGGGCGCGAAATGTCAATTCGAGTTCCCCTTCTTGTGGCCCTCTTGGGGCCCTTTGGGCAGTCGTGGGCGCCTCTTGGGCTGTCCTGCAGCCGTCTTGGAGCTCTCTCTCTGAGGCTGTATCGGGGGGATTTGGCGGGCCTCTAAGGGCTGCTGGAACGCTGTGCAGGCAAAGAAAAATACACGAAAAATACGCTGCCCTACTGATTTGGGATCGTTTGGCAGTTCGGGGCTGTCTTTGGGGCCCGTGTAAATCTCTCTCGGGGCGTCTTTGGGGCCTCTTAGACCGTCGCCGGGCTAACTAAGGCCGTCTCAGGGCCGTATTGGACGCCTTTTCGGCCGCCGTTGGGCACGGCTGGGCCGTATAGGGAGCGTGGCCCGAGGCCCACAAGTGTGTCGGAGCTACCCCAGGGGCGCTTTTCTGCATCCTGTGGCCTCTCGGAGGCGGACAAAAAGCGATTGATCGAGAGCACCTTCTGGCACGCAGAGGCTCCTGCTTTGTGAAAGAGACTAGGGCTGAACCGTGGCCTACTGGCCACGAAATCTGTCCGAGATGGCACGCGGAGCCAGCGCAGGGATGCTGCCGAAAGACCTTCGTGATCGTTGGACCCGAAACTCGCCTCTGCTGCTGCTTACTTCTGCAGTGTCGCTCCAGGAGACAAGCACGATTCTGTTTGGCCTGCGCAAAGACTCTCCTCTGCTCCGCTCTACCGTCGTGGAGTTAAGTTTGAAGCCCCTTGGAGCTGCTTGGGAGCTGTGTGGAGGCCTCTGAGGGCCTCTTTTGGCCTTCTTGGGGCCATCATGGTCCGCGTTGGGCGCTACTTGGACCGTCTTGTGACTGTGTTGGGCTCTCTGGGGGCGCCTCTAGGGGTGCCTTTGGGGGCGCCTCTGGGGCCGTTTGGGAGCCGTCTTGGGCCGCTATTTGAGCCTTTGGAGGGTACGATTGGGCCGTCCTGTGCGCCTCTTGGGCCGTCCTGGGGCCGCCTTGGGCCGTCTTGGGGTTTTCACGAGGGCCCCTGAGGCCGTCTTGGAAGAATTCGGGGGGACGAGAACGAAAAACAAATAAACCAAGCACGCGCGTTGCCCAACGGAGTTGGGACGATTTGGGGGTTCCTGGGCTGTCTTGGGGGCCCTTGTGGATCCCTCGTGGGGGGCCTTGGGGGCCTTTTGGGCCGTTTGGGCAGTCGTGGGCGCCTCTTCGGCAGCCTTCTGGCTATTCTGGGCCGCACACAATGCGTGGCCCGAGGCCCGCAGCGCTACCCTTGGAGACCGAAAAAAATGCACTAATCCACAGCGCCTTCTGGTACGCGCGGGCTTCTGCAGCGTAGAACAGGCTGCAGGCAAGTGAATACTGCTGGTAACGATTATGATCGCATGCCGACGTATCGGTAGCGCACGCGCGCGCACGCGCACGCGCACGCGCACGCGCACGCGCTCAGGATTGGGCACGGGCTCGGGCTCGGGCCCAACCTCGGGTTCGGGGTCGAGCCCGAGCCCGAGCGCGAGCTTGAGCCCGAGCCTGCGCACGCGCGCGCACGCAAACGCGCGCGCGCCCGCACACGCGCACGCACACGAGCACGCTCACGCACGCGCGCGCGCACGCACGCGCGCGCACGCGAACGCACTAACCCCGGTTGATTGCGAGGCGTGACTACAAGGCTAGGACCCCCGCCCCTGGGCCCCGCCCCATCCCCTCCACCTGCCCTACTCATCAAAGCCCTAAACGGGGTGAGGTTCCAGGGAAGCTGGCTCCAGCAGCTTATACCAACAAGACGGGTTGGTTCGATCACCCATCTTTTTACAAGGGCCAATGGTTCCAGCAGCCCACGGAGTGGGTTCCAGTACCCATGTTACCCATGTTTGACGAGGGAGTTGTTCCAGCAGCTTACGCCGACAAGAAGGATGGGGTTTCGTCTGAAGGGCAAATAGAGCGACTCGCGAACCAGCCACGAACCTTACAGTCTGTCAAACGTCACACCTGTAAGATAGTCACCGAACTGTAGAGCTGACCCGTGGACTCCGTCCACGGAATCTGCAGGAACTGGCACGTGATTGTGGACATGCTGCCGACAGGCTGAAATTACAGCGTGGGGCTCGACTCCGGGCTCGACCCTCGTATTCCGCGCATGCTACTGCATGTTTCTGCTTGCGGCTGCTGTTGCGTGCTGTTGGACATGCTTGCCGCTGCTGCGTATCGTTGCTGCTGGTGGTTGCAGGGTGCTGCTGATGGCAATGTCTGCCTAGTGCGTGCTGATGACCGCTACCTGCTGCTGCCGTTGCTGTTGCCGTGTGCTGCCGCTTCCGCTGCTGCTGCTGCCGCCTGCTTCCTGTGGGCACGACGGCTTCAGGCGGTCATCGCAAGATAGTCTGACAATAATGATTTTCACTCAGCACAGACAGGAATGGTTTGAGCCGAAACGTACATCGGTCAAAAGTGCAAACGCACGCAGACAACACAGACAATACAACGAGCACCGCATAGTCAGGACGAGAGGGAGCTATATGATTCCACAACTCCCCCCACTTACTGTCGGCCTGACTCCTCGAGCCGCCTGTCGCGACCCTGTAGGTAGCGGCGGCTAGCCTCGCGACTGCGACGGCCCTTCTCGCCGCCAGCAAGTAAATGAGCACGCTCAGACTCATCATCACTCAACGTCAGGGTCCCTCGACGTATCACGTGGCCCATCGCGTCGGAGTCCTTGGCGACATCGGCCTTGGCCGTCACGTCCGCAGGGTTGAACAGGACAGGAAACCACTTCACGCGCGAGCCCCGCTGAGAGAATGAGTCTCGAGCTATGGCGAGGTCGAATGAGGTCCTGCGATCCTCCTTCCTGCCAGCGCAGTTCTTGGAAAAGGCAATCGAATGTGGCCTTGGCGTCGGCGGCGTGGACTCCGGGCAGGGGCCGATGTAGCTCACAGCTGTCGCGCAGCACGGACACGTAGGGACCGGCGCACTGTCGCCAGTCGGCCGCGGGCACGCCTCCATAACATGCATCGCGGAGTAGCAGCTGGACCCAGTCGGCCTCACCGAGAGATTGGCGTAGCAAGTTGGCCTTACCCGCCAGGGAAGAGTTGGCAGCACGGAGCGTCTTGGATGACCTCCACGACAGGATAGTCACTTTGCCGGTCAGTTCACGAGCCAGCTGAGGGTCGGCCACACCAACGTCCCACGCACACTGGATGGGTGAGTCGGCGCCAATCCCGGCAGCATCGCCCAGGGCAAAACTCACGACTTGGGACAGATCACGCCGCCAGGTGGTCAGATACTGGGAAGCAGCGTCGCGCAGCATCTGGACGGCCTCATTGAACACAACGATGTCCTCCACGACTGCCCGCTCGAGCCTGTTGGCGAGGATGGAAGCCGCGCCAGCCACCTCTGGGCGAGCCCCCTTGGCCGCCCAGCTGATGCGGTAGATGCCGGATCGGAGCTGCTCGAACTCCGAGTGACTCAGAGCCTCGTCTCTCTTGGAGCGGCGCCCCTTCTCCAGCGCGACGGGGTGGATCCCCCAAGATACACTTCTCCTGGCCCACTCGTATGCGGCGAGCCTCCTCGCGGATACGCCGTCCGGCGAGCTCCGCCTCCTATGGATATCCCCCCGTCATTTGCCGAAGGCGAAGTCGGCCAGCCACTTTGCACGGGACGCGACCGTGCCCAGCCAGAGATCGCCCACCTCGATCAACACTTGACCCCTCAAGGCACCCTGCCCTCGCAGAGTCCAGCAGCAGGGCTCTAGCAGTGGCTTCTTGGAGCCTAGGCCTCGCAGATAGGATGCGATTGTGGCGCGCCTAGACCGTAGACCGCCACATGTAGCTCGATCAGGCATCCGCCCGGGACATGAATGCCAGTGAGCCCCTCGCAGGAAGCCACGTAGATGGGCCATCCAGCACGACGGAGACGTCTCGACTGACTGAAAGCGTTCCTGCAGTCCCCGATACTTTGATCCATGCCATGGCCCAGGAGCACAAGTCCGAAGAGCATCATCGACTCCGACTGAGGAGTCGGAGAGTAGGTCACCAGCTGCTCTGCGTCGGGGCCAGCAAAGCCGCGAACGCAACATCGGCTCTTGGCCTTTGGCGCATTGAAGGTACCCTCCTGCGCCTTCCACCCGCGTACCATCCTCGATGATAGCCCTCTCTCGGGACGAGCTCGAAGCACCCGAGTGGGCCCCCCTTTGCTGAGTATCCGCAGCACGTTGGGCTCGTTGAGCACCTCCCACTCGGCCTCGCCCGACTGCCGGAACATCTCGAGCTCCTGGGCTGAAAGATCCTCGAGTTTGACCTCTCCGCCGCGCGAGGACAGCA